GGCGGCCGCGGCGGCGGCGGCGGCAACAGCAAAGCAGCTTGGTAGGGCCCCGCGCGGAGCATGTCGGGAATCTAGGGGCCCTCAGCTCTGCCTGTCCAGAATCTGTCCAGAATCAGACCCACCAGAGCAGAACCACCCAAGAGACACCCTCGGCCTGGCTATCCTTTGGATTACTCACCCAAAAGAGTAATATTCATAGCTGTGTTTTCTGTTTTTTCCTTGTCCGAAAGGTTCCGGAGGACAGGGTCCTCCAGGCGCGCCGAAGACGACTAACGACGCCAGGAATGAATCAGACGGAGGAAAAAGAAAGAGGGTCGAGTTAGGTTCCAAAGAATTCCTTTTATTCCCCCCCACGCGCCACCCCTAACCCCAAATTTGGTCGTTTTTGGAACATTGTAGTCCCGCGACGGGGCGAAAACTCCTTTGGGTAGTCTAAGTAAAGAGACTCTGGGTTTAATTCGCTGGGCGAGGGGACAAGAACTCGCTTGATGAAGTCATGTGGGCCGAAGGAATTGGCCTGCAGCCCTGAAGAGGGGAGTGTCAGGGCGCTGGCGCCTTCCCGGGAGTCCCGAAGCGCCCGGCTTCGAGTCTGCGGAAAGCTCTGCTACTGGGGCGTCAGCGCCTCCTGACTAAGCGTGCAATCGCCAAACAGCTGTGAGGAAGACTGACGGATCTTTCACCGCCCCAAGTAGTCTTCTGAAACTGAGGGGAAAATAAATGAGAGCTGAAAAAAAGTGAAGTTAGAAATTGATTCATGATTCCCAGCAACTTCAAATATGAATTTATACTTTATGTAACAAAGATTCTCCACTGTCGTGGAGAAATTGGAGCATCTACGAGATTTTGCTTCGCACTCCAAACAGACTTAGTAAGCTCATTTTGCACGTAATTAGAAATTATGTAGTTCTACCTGATTCACAAAGCTTTCAGAAGTAGCCTGGAAACACATGCTGGCATGTCAACAAGAACATTAATATCATAGTATACAAGGCATTATTACAAAAGCCCGTTTAAAATGAAGTTCCACTTCCAAAAGTGAGAAATGACAAAGTAACATAATATTTTTCGTCATTCAAAGTATCGGACTCAGGGATGTAGGGAACTGTACATTCACATACTGTTGGTGGAATGTAAGTTAATTTTGCTAAGGGAAATATCTGGAAGCCTGTAACAAGCTCTTAAAAATGTGAATACTTTTGGACCCAGAAGGTCTATTTTTAAAATTTATAATAAAGGTATTCTTCAAAAATATGAACAAAGCTATACATGGCAGTATTGTTTATAATACCAAAGTATTGTTAAGCTCTAAAATGTCCAATATTAAAAAATTGGAGAAACTGATTCTTTTTTTTATGGTTTTTTTTCCATACCTCTAAGAGACAAAAATAATAAGGTTGTGAGGATCAAATGGATTAATACAAGCAAAACCCTGTAACAGTGCCTGGGATATAGTAAGCACTAAGTAAATGTAAGCAATCATTAAAATTAGTATTGGCAAAAGAAGTTCTGGTGCACATGATATAAAAATTATATAAAATTATATGAAGGTTACTGTAGCTCTATATTCACATAGACACCTGAATATATATTTTTAAAGTTACAGAATCATGTAAAATTACAGACACCTACATATTTGAAAATCTGAAAGGAACACACAAGAATATTATAAAATGATTATTTCCAAATAGATTCTGAGTGATGTTTTTGTTCTTCATGAATTTTATATTTTTAACGGCAAGCATGTATTTCTTCGACAAGCAGAAAAATGTTACAATAATGCAAAATGATGTTATCTATTATTACCACCAAGTTCTTGACATATTGAAGGGCCAATATCAAAAGCTTGCTTGTACTTCATTATGACAAATAAAATAATTTTCCAAACTATTAGTATCGATACAGGAATTAGAGCATTGTCTTTCAAAATCCTTCTTTTGATTACTAGGCTGACAAAACCATGTAACAACTTGTCCACCTCAATTTACAAAGCAGTGTCTTGGGTACATTATCATAATTTACCTGTATGAGAACCAAGTATTTATGAAAATGTACTTGGAAATGTTTTGTACTTTGGTAATGCAACTGAATTGTTCTGTTGCCAGCAACAAACTAGTGAACAAATTGTTCAAGCCTTAATTATCAATATATGAACATTGAGAGGGCGGGGATTTGGCTCAGTGGTGCCACCGCCTGCAACTCAAGCGCAAGTTCGATAACCAATACGAAAACAAAATATGAACATTGAGGATAACATATATTAGCACTGATAAACCTTACCCATGGTATTCTAACCTAGAACAACAACGTTAGCTATTGGGGAGTCTTCATAAATAATATGCTATAAAAATAAATATTTTCAAAATATAAAATTTATGATGTATTTGACAAAAGCCACATATAAAAAAACAAAGTTTTTTTAGCTTAACTTTCCCTTTGAAATACTGAAACTACAAGATTTTTCACTTGTTACATGCACTTATAAAGAAAATTATTAAATTCATATTGAAGTACTTTTGTAAACACTTTAGAGACTCAATTTCACATTAAGTGTTTCTGTTCTATGCTCAATAAAGTTTTGTGGCTATAAACTATCCCTGTATTCTCAATATGACTTTGAAAATTCTTCTACGTTAAAAATAAAGATACTGACATACAAATGGAGTTACTATAGGAAAACCATCTATAATCTTAAGACTCCAGAAAAGGAATATCTCTGAAAGGTTATTAACCTTTTATAAATCCAACCTAGTGAGTGAGACTGACTAATATTTTTTCGATTCAGCCCTTCCTCTCCAGCCTCACTTCATCTTCATCATCTCAAGTGAATTACAGTAATCCCCTTTATCCATAGGACCTGAGGTTAACTGTGGTCCACAAATATTAAGTGAAAAATTCCAACAAATGAGCAACTATTAAATTACATGCCATTCTGAGTAGTATTGTGAAATGTCCTACCATTCTGTTCTGTGTGGCCAAGGATGTAAAGCATCCCTTTGTTCAGTGTATCCATGTGGTATATGCTACCTCCCATTAGTCACAGCCATTTTAGTTATCAGGTTGAACTTATTAATGTAATTTTTAATGTATATTTTTATAATTGTTCTCTTTTTATTAGTTATTGTTAGTAATTTTTTACTGTTTGTAACTTATAAATTAAACTTTATCCTTATTATATAGATGTGTAGAGAAAACATAGAGTATATTGGGTTCAGTACTATCCTATTTCCAGCATCCTCTAGAAGGCTTGGAACTTATCACCTGTGTATAGAGGGAATGGGAGAAAGACTACTGTATTACAGTCACCTAATATTTTTTTCTTTTTTACTGCTATGCAATAAACTGTATCCACGTAAAATTGCTATATTGAAGCCCCCACACCAACATGGTGGTAGTTTGTAGATGCGGGCTTTGGAAAGGAAGATTTAGATGAGGGTGTGGAGCATGGACCCTTCTGATGGGATTAGTGTCCTTATCATAAGAGGCACCATATTGCTGCCTCTCTTTTCCACATGTGAGAACACAATAAAAAGGTAGTTGTCATTCCGCCTCCTCACCAGAACCTGACTGTATTGATACACTGATCTCAGACTTATAACCTTCAAAACTGCGAGAAAATTAATTTATGCTGTATAAATCACTCACACTATGGTATTTTGTTAGAGCAGCCCATGCCAACTAATACACCTAGTTATCTCCGAACTATTCTGTACTGGCAGAATGATTTTTCTGACATACATGAGTTATTCCCTTAAGAAAGACTCTCACAAGTTTTTGTTTGTTTGCTTTTTGTTTTGGTACCAGGGATTGAACTCAGGTCCTTGCGTTTGTGAGGCAGGCAGGAGAACCACTGAGCTAAATCCCCAGCCCATCTCATGTTTCTTCTGCCATTACTCAATGGAAGTTTATTAACTCTTTATGTTCTCCAGACACCATTCTATATGCTGAAAATATCATAGGGATAAATACTTTATGTGACTTAATGTTTCTTGGAGAGTAACTGATTGGGCAGAAAATCATTAATTAAACTAATTTATTGATTACACATTCAGAGAGTCTCCAGACTTCAATATTAATGCCTAATTCTTTAGTGTTACATCCATGTAAAGTAGATGATTAATTCCTCATCTGTTCAGTTTTTTTTTACTTCCTAAGTTAGTCTTTCTAAACTATCAGCAGCCATCCAAATATCCCTATTCTTTCCATGTCTTCAAACAAGCAACTCTTTCTGCTTATTCTATTTACATGGGTCCTAGGCCTTCTCTAAATCTGTACTCAGACTTCACTCCCCAAAAGCATTTCCTGACTCAGTAGCTGACCAGTAGCAGGCACATAATAAGTATTTGTTAAATGAATCAGTTACCACTATCACAGCACTTAATGGTATGATATTTGTTCCAGATATTGATCACTACATAAAAACCACCCCAAACCTAGCATCATAGAACAACAACAACAAAAAAATCACTTCTTTTGCTTACAAATCAGAAATGTGGTCAGAAAAATGTGGCTCATCAGGAACAGTAAGCCTCTCTTCTACACTGTGTCAGCAGAGGAGCTCAAGAGCCAAAATGACTCGGGCTAGGAATAGAGCACATCATTTCTGTCATATTCTGTTGGACAGGTAGTCACAGTGTCTGTATGCAAAGGGAGAGAGAATAAAATTCACGTCTTGGTAGAAAGAGCTGTAAGGAATTTGTGGGTCCATATTTAAATGCTACTAGAATATTGTACCATTTTGTTTATATAAGAATTGATTTTTAGATCATTGAATCTCCACATTTATGGACGCTGCTCAGTAAGTGTTCCATAAATGTGTTAAATACAGTAAATGAAATACATTATGATTAAACTTTCATCAGTCCTTGTAGAAGGTGATAGGATCTGGTCTCGTCACCATAAGCAATAGAATACTAGACAAAAATACAAAGAACAAATGATTTCCAA